TAAGTGGGTCCCACCAGAAAGCTTCACATCAATTTTCACTCCTGGATATTGATTGTTGGATCAGTTGTGGATAAATAAGTTGTTGAAAATGTGTCATGCTTATATGTCATTTATTTAATAAAGTTGTTAATTGCGATGGAGTTAGAGTAAGATAATATTTTGAATTGGAAACAAGTGATATTACAAATGGGTTTCTTCACAAACTTGCTCTTACCATTGTACATATATGTGCTAGACCTAATGAGCCATATGTGCTGCCAGCATTTATTTTCTCTGAAAGAAATATCTAAGTTGATACACTACATTGTACCTTAGCTTCGTGGACCAAAATATCTATAGTTGATTGATTTTGGTTTGTGATTGGAACATTATAAGTATATACACATGTGCTCCAAATATAAAAGTAGGTGGCATTGATGGCAGGAATTAAGATGACATAGGAAAGTTTTGCAGACAATTGCAGTGGATCACATGAAGACAATTAGCAATTGATGCAGAGAACAATGTCGCTGTAGAGATTATGGTCATATTTTATTTCTTAAGAGGATCTTGTGTGTCATAGCAGGTAGACATTAAAGCTGATGTGTACGGGGAATACTTCGAACATCCTATGGTGAACCATGTCAGGTTAAAAGTTCCCTGGAGAACTCAGTCAGGCTTGATGTGAGAAGAATCTGGTTAGATCAGACAATGAGTCCATCTGTTAAGCTTCCTATTTTATACAGTGCTCAGGCATATGCTTCCAGAAATTGCCAGTCACTAGTCTTCCATTATCTATTATCTTATCTTCCAGGAGGCCTGCCAACAGTGCTGGACTGGCTGGTACTCACTCTGACTAATTGATAATTATAATGTGTCTTTTAATATCTTGGTTTTTTGCCATGTGGTGATTAAAGAAAGACTGATCAGCACTGCTGACTGTATAGCTCACTTACTGCTGTGAAGTAGGCAGATGACTTTTTTTTTTTGTCGTGTCAGGAGCGACTTGAAAAACTGCAAGTCGCTTCTGGTGTGAGAGAATTGGCCGTCTGCAAGGATGTTGCCCAGGGGACGCCTGGATGATTTGATGTTTTTATCATCCTTGTGGGAGGCTTCTCATATCACTGCATGAGGAGCTGGAGCTGATAGAGGGAGCTCATCTGCCTCTCCCCGGATTCGAACCTGCGACCTGTCGGTCTTCAGTGGGTTTAACCCACTGCGCCACCGGGGGCAGATGACCAAGATAGGTAAAATCTGCTTTTTCTATTCCATGTGGTCATGGCGTAGGAGTTGTAAAACAGTTTGGTACCTGAATTTACTTTTTGATTCCCGCTCTAGTCTTTTTTATTATTATGCTGATTATGTACTCCATTATTTAAAACCAGTCTCCCCTTATCTGATCCCCCATTTATGTGTTGGACTACAACCCCTGTGTTCCACAGCTGGCGTAGTAGATAGTTGTATTCGAGTTCATCTGGAGGATGCAAAGTTGGGGAAAGCTGGCTTTGAACATTCATGCGGCATGAATGAAATGGTATGTGACAGTGTATATTGTAGGAGGGAAGTGTGTTCATGAAGAAAGAGATCCAGTCTCTTATGAGAACAACGTTTGTCCACACTAATGTTTGAATGCAAGAAAGAGCTCTTTATCAGATTTCTATAATCGAGGAAATAGGGTCTTGTTCTCCCTATCCCACTGGGCGAAACACTATCCTCCTGTTCATTCCTACTGAATAACTGAGTTCAGACCTTACAATTTCCCCTTTGATATACCAATCTCATGCAGTTGCATGTGAGATGCTGCCAAGCCAACTTTCCCTGTAGGGTTTGGATTTCAGAGTGTTTCTTAAAAATGGCATCTCCTATTGCACTCTTTCAATTGATTCAAATGGGAGATCTATCTTTTGTATCACCCAGTGATTTGTATATACCGTATATTCCGGCATATAAGACGACTGGGCGTATAAGACGACCCCCAACTTTTCCAGTTAAAATATAGAGTTTGGGATATACTCGCCGTATAAGACCACCCCTCTTCCAATGCACACCAAATAATTTTTAAAAAAAATCAGATTTGAATTCAATATGGTAATTTGAATTCAAATGCTTTTGACATGCAGGTTCCTATGAGAGGGACATTGTACCTTACATTGGACATTATAGTTGCTCTTCCTCCCTTGAATTTCATTTACGCTCTGGGTCGTTTACATCATGCTGGCAAGTATGAAAGCAGGCTTTAAATGGTTCAGATTACATTTATGTTGGCATAGAAGCTTGCATGCAAATAGAAGTCAGGCTTTGTAATGACTGAAAGGCAAAGTATTGTAGTTATCAAGAGCGGCACGCGGGACAAATCTGCTGCACGCAAGCTAGGAACGCACGCTTATACCATCGCGTTCAGCAATTCCACCGTAATGCATGCCGCAATACGAAGCTTGCCCTGCCAAACCTGGCTTTTGGTAT